TGTTTCTTTCGTGATTTTTATTTGTTTTTGTTTTGCTTCGGTCTTATATATATATATATATATATATATAAAGTCTAAATTGAAATATATATATATCTTTATTCTGTCAAACATTTGTAATTACAATGGTATTCAGACACTACGTGACATCAATAAATACAGACATTAATACTTGAATACACAGAGCAAACTATGTACACTATTTACAATTATTCTGATTGTATATAGCCAGGAGAGCACACATGGGAATTTATATATCTAATGAAGGTACACAGCTTTCTCGAATTCGATTTTTTGGTTAAATTCATACTATTAAGTTCCTTGAAAATCAATATATTTGGCTGAGCTATATATACTTTTTATCAATACATGTGTTTCTTTTTACTGACATATCGTTAATTACACTTCATAATATAATGAATATCATCTCCAAGATCTTTTGAATCACACAATTTACACGTTCGTCTATCTCACTGAATATTTGTCCATCTCCTTATCTCAATAGGTAATTTATTGTTGATGGTTCTTAATTTGCATAAAGTGTAAATATCGCAAAGTTCTAAAATATCAAAATAGTTCTCAAAGCCAAAAGTATCTTTAAAAATTCGATAATTTAATGTCTTCGAACATGTTTGCACATTTGATAAGTTAAACCATGTTTGTTGAAACTGATCTTGGAGTGATCTTCTGATAGTATTCTTTAACCAAGTGTCAATTGTACATGTTTGAGATAACTTCACAAAAGATAATCACGTTTCATTAAAAATAGATTCTACATGCCTTAATCAACTAAAATTTACATCATTTTCATTTGACAGCTGCTAATTTAGTTGGTTTGCCACATACTGGTTTCACCCAAAATGAAATCATACAGACTTTAATATCTGAATTTATGGGATATCGTCCAAGTTAACCATATGATATACAATTTGGGGTAGAAGATTTTAAATGCAGAAGAAGCTTACAAAATTTTTATTGAACTCTCTCCAGAATGTCGTTATTTCCAAACCCCCAAATTTTACAACCGTACAATAAGACCGGTTTCACTAATTTGTCAAATAAATCTAATTGACAACTTATAGATAAGACATGTTTTCTCCCCTTTTTGGTCACCTCTTACATTACCTTTGTAGCTTTTTCTGCTAGGTGTTTTCTACAGTATTTGAATGTGCCATTTCGGGTAATATAGAAAAATAGTTCCCAAGATAGTTAAATTCTTGAACGATATCTATGACAGAGTCTTCAATAGCAGGTAAAATATAAAGTTACTTCCATCATAATATTGATTTGATTAAGTGTATATATATATAATGTATATGGCTGAATATACCCTTAGTAGTATTATTTGGTAGGCGTAGGAAAATATTCGAGTATAAATCAAAAAGAACTAACTTTAAATTTTGTTTGCAATTAAAAGATTGTGATTGGACATAGTTGATAGACTTTGATTTCATTTAATCAGTGTATATAAAATGCGAATCCTGAAATACCATTTTTACTCTATCTGACATGTATTTCTAATGTAGATGATAAATAAACAGACGAAAATTTCATGACTTTTTTTAATAGAATAAGAAATAATATATCAAATGTTTTGTTTTTATAAATTCATGATACAGGTAAGAGATGCGGATACATCGCATACTAATGAAACGTCATTAATGGATGCAGCTTGGATAATAAAGAGCGTTCATACAACAATATACATTTCACGCTTGAGTGACCGGTAACATTTTCATTTTGGGTTTATGTTTAAGATGCTATACATCACGTACCGATGCAACTTCATTAGTGCGTACATCTTGGACAGAAAAACTCTCACAAGCACTTGACTTACATTTCACTCTTGGATGACTGGATACTTTATATTTCACATGCCATTGAATATTTACCCGTGCATACATCTTATACAGTAAAGAAAGTTCAAGCAACAATCGAGTCACCTTAATTTATATTTGACTACCAAACAAATTGTTGTTACAAATGACCAAATACGTAATTTTAAGAATATAATGACGTATTAATTATAAAAATAAGAAGATGAGGTATAATTGCCAATGAGAAAACTCTTCACCAGACACCAAATTACATAGAAGTTAACAACTATAGGTCACCGTACGGCCTTTTATATCTGACTATGCTGTATGGGTTTTGCTCATTATTGAAGGCCGTACGTTTGAATTGTTTTACATTTGCCATTTTGGAGCCTTTTATATCTGACTATGCTGTATGGGTTATGCTCATTATAGAAGTTAACAACTATAGGTCACCGTACGGCCTTCAATAATGAGCAAAACCCATACAGCATAGTCAGATATAAAAGGCTCCGAAATGGCAAATGTAAAACAATTCAAACGAGAAAACTAACGGCCTGATTTATGTAAATAAACAACGAACGAAATACGAATATGATATACAGCAACAAACGTCAACCACTGAATTACAGGCTCCTGACTTACATGCGCATACAGAATGTTGCGGGTTAAACATGTTAGCGGACGCCCAACACTCCCCCGAACCTGGACAGTGGTGTAACAGTACAACATTATGAACACACAATAAAAATGAGTTGAAAAGGGCTTAACTCATAAGATCGATAAAAAGCAGAAAAACAAGTAACAAAAACACAGACCGGACGTGAGAGGATATTTATACATCCCTATAACAACAAAAAAGACACCAAGTACAGATCTGAGAGTACTCGCAATTACTGACAGTTAGTTCAAAGCCAATAACATCTAATAAAAAAATCATGTATCTAAGACTAAAATTTCAAGTACAGTTTATTGTTACAAGTTTTAATGGTTCTATACCACGGGGTATAACCGTAGTATGGTTGATTCCGGACGTTAATTGCTGCGTAGCGAAGCGAGGCTGGTAGAAAGAACGTCCTTATATTTTTCTTTAAAGATCAATTTACGAAACAGTAAGTTTCTTTAATTTTCATGCTTTTTCACATTTCTCGATCGGTGTGAGAAAAAATATTTCTCGTCTCTAGAGAAAACTTTGTTCTCGACAAATGATTGGTCAAAATTTAATTTTGACGTCATATTTTCTTGGTTTCGTCTGGATTTCCTATTGTAACGTCATGAAAAAGGCTACCATGCCAGATGTCACAAATAAAGAACACAACTTTCTTCAAATCTTTGAAAAGGAAGGATAAACTTGTTTATATATCGTTAGAGAAACAGATTCCACCACTATAACTCGTGTATTACGATATTTTTCCACTCTCGACAGTTACATTTTAATTGTTTAAAAAGCTCGGCAAGCCTCGCACTTTAAATATAAAAATTTAACTGTCTCGAGTGGAGAAATATCGTAACACACTTGATGCAGTATTCATGACCAATATTTATGAAAACAAAGTTTACCGCTGCTGACAGCAATGTATATTATTTATATTACATGAACACCCATTATGTATTTTAAACAACAAAAATCGCAAAACGCACGGTCGTATTTAGTTTAAGAGTCAACCTTCAATGCTTTATTTATAGTTTAATCAAGTTTGAGTTACACAGAGTGTGTGTTTCGCGATGTTTACAAGAATTCATACACCTGTCTATTTCAGATAGTCACAACGAATGAGAAACTCATTGTTTTATTTTATTTACAGACGTTTACTTGAAGGACTGGCCTCCGATTTTCGTCACTGTACGGTTCGTTTGTTAAGTAGCGTTCATTGCAAATTCTTGTTCTGTTCGTTGTGCGTTTTAACTATTCAAAGCCGAGCAATAAGGATGAAATATGTATGAAACTACGTGACAACTTGTCAAAGCTTATTTAAGCGAGTACTACAAAATTTTCAAAGAAAATTCGCCATAAAAACATGTTGTATTCATAGATTTTCTACTCCAGTACATTTTCAAATCCATGACACACTAATAGCAAACTCGCCGAAAATCTTTGAATATGCATGTTATTAACGTGCATCACCTTAAGACGCTGTGTCGCAACACACCCTGACCTTCGTGTGATGTTGACCATAGACCTCAAGATCAAAATACTGGATTTCTCAGAAACTGGATTGCAATCAATTGCTTCCGATGAGTGGGCCTCACCTGCTCCAGTAATTTCTGTTTCATATTTAACAAATAAAAAACTCAGGTATTTTCATTTTCAATTTGAAATGTTAGAAATGTCAAATAGTTAATTAGTTCTGAATGCTTGCTTTCAAAAAATAAAAGATAGCAATTTCAATAGAGACAGCACATTATGTTCTTCTCGATGTTTTTACCAACTAACGGTACAGTACTATTACGAAAATACACAACGAACGTACAGTAAAAAATCGATGAACGGTACAGAACGCATGTTAACGACCGGAATCAACTGTACAGCAGTAACATGTATACCCCGCGTATATTCAAGTAAGCATCTACGAAAAGTTTGTATTCTAAATTGTTATTTTCATCAATACTAAAGTCATTAAAAGACTATTTTCAGTTGTTGCATGTCCAGTTATCACATAACACAACAATGAAAATTCATCGCAACTCTAAAAATTCCACATCAGAAATGATCGCATTTATAGTTAAAATGAATCGAATTCAATAATCAATACTATAGACTCGGCTGCTTTAATCACACATTTTTCGACTTTAATCCTGTTAGGTACATTGAAAGGTCATATTCTAATGAAAACATACATTCAAATGAATTATTTTGTATTTTCAAAAAGAAAACAAACGCAGTGTTTCCTATCATCCTTTATTCTACAGTATTAATACTCGCGTATAACAGTGAAAATGAACTATCTGGATTCGCCCTTTGTATATACACTGTTAATACCCATAACGTATTTCTTCAGTCATTAAAACGTTTTTATTGGTAGTTTTATGTACTGGAGAAACGAAGTGTAAATTCGATTAGATCACGATTCTTTTGAATACATCAAATTTTACCTTTATGATCAAATATTCAAAGGCATTCACCTGAAACGCTGCAAGTTTTATAAAGAATTTATGTTAAACTTCAAACATCATTGTACATTGATAAGTATAGCATTATCGATTAGGAATTCATATGTTCTCAAGCAAAAATATAATCAAATGTGTGAATAAGAAACTGAATAATCTGCTGAAATTTTGGAATATAAAAGAAATCCTTAGGTGTACAGCTATTCTAAACATGAAAAAAAAGGTTACAACATTACTGTTCATTCTGTCAATCATCATAACAGTAGCATGCGGGGAACTAGAATTTCCTTGTAAATACAGTAGGAATAGAAAACATCAACTGGTTGCTCATTGTGAAAATCGAGGATTTACATCTGTGCCAAGGAATCTAAGTCGAGATGTACATGAGTTAATTCTTTCAAATAACTTGATACACATACTCAAAAACAATTCATTCATCAATTATTCCAATATGGAAAGCCTGAGTTTAAGCAAAAACAAAATATCTAACATTCAAAAGGATGCTTTTGCTGGACTCAATTTGCTGAAAGTTTTGAAGATAAATGATAATTTGATAAACATCACAATCCTCCCACAGGGTGTTTTTAGACATCTTAGTAATTTAATTGCACTGGATATAAGTAGAAATAAAAAGCAATTGCAAGAAAGCAGTCCGTTTATTTATCCCGATGCCACATTTTCTACAGTGGAACGCTTGCAGAATCTCTCAATTGATCTATTCATGTTTCCTATATTTGGAAGAGGATTTATAAAACTTCAAAACCTCACCGCATTGAATTTTGATAAATGTTATTTGCGAAATAGTAGTGGATTTAGGCTATGGAATTCAACCTTTGAACATTTCTCGTCAAACCTGAAAGAACTCTATATCAGCGGCTGTCGTCATTTTTTCCAAATGGAATACGGATTATTGGAACATTTTCCTAACTTAAACATTTTAGACTTATCAAATTCGTACGTTCACTTGTATCAAGCGTTGCGTATTCTACATCCATATCAGGATAAAAACATGTCCGTTATAAACTTTCACCACATAACTGATAGTTCAATCAATGGAAATGATTTTCCGTACTCAGTTGTTATAACAGCAGATATAATGAAATATCTAAGAACTATTTGTATTGAATCATTGGACTTGTCGAAAACAGGAATCGTAGATTACCAGCAAAATTCTTTATTTTCGTTCGAACACCCAGCATGCTTCAAAATCTTTATTATATCTGCTAATAGACTGCCAGCAACGATTGCAGATCACTACTTTGAAGTAGTTACATTCATGAAACTTGCTGCTAATATGAAGGTCTACGATTTTTCATACCTAACTACAGATTATGCCCATCCCGTTTATTTAAACGTATACCATCCTGAAACTTTGAATCATTTTAAAAATAGAATTCAAAACGTTTATCTTTCACCCGAAGTCAGTATTTTCCTTCCACCGTCTTTAGAATTTCTTCGATTTACTCATATTTTATCAGTCTTTAGTTCAGCGTTTATCATATGTGCAAACACATCGCTAAGATATCTTGATGTGTCATTTGGCGTTTACCAGCATTTTCCGATGGCGACAAACGACTGTGGAAAGCAGCTGGAATACTTAGACATTTCTGGAAGTCCCAAGGCAATCATTACATTTCCAAAAATACTCCTTCCAAAACTCGCTATCTTAAAAATGACACATGCACGCATAGACCAATTAATCTTAAAAGGTAAACAATGGATGGTATTCAGAGCACCATATTTGAAAAATATAGACATATCTTTCAATAATCTTTGGACATTGGAGGAAACAGCTTTTTTAAATCAGCCAAATATTACGCATTTAAACATGTCAAACAATCTTTTTAGGGCCATTCCTACTTTTGTTACCAACCTTCAAAAGTTGGAATATTTAGATCTTTCTTATAATTTGATTGTTTCTATTAATGATACCATGAGGCGTTGGCTTGATAATGTGTCTTCAAATCGAAAGTTTGTCCTGGACTTGAATAACAACGATTTGGTGTGTTCGTGTGATACTCTAGACTTTCTTTTGTGGATGGAGAAAAAGAAAAAAATATTTTATAATAGGGACAATTATACATGTACAACGTCAAAAGAAAACAAGCAAGTCCCATTAAAGGAAGTAATACAAAATAAAAAGAAGTACTTCTCATATTGCGAAAACAATATGTGGCTAATTTATTTAGGTATATCAGTTGCTAGTGCCTTTGGTATATTCATGGCTATTTTTCTTCTTTATAGCTATAGATGGAAAATAATTCTTTACATGTATAGAAAAGTCAGGCGTGTTGTTGAGAAAAATTTACATGAAAACTATATGTACGACGCATATGTTTCTTATGAAGACAGAAGCGTAGCGTGGATACAGAAGTTCCTTCTTCCGAAAATTGAAGACGAATGGGGGCTTAAAGTATGCTTACATGATCGAGATCTTCTCCCTGGAGATTTTACTGCAGATGCAAAAGCAGAATCAATTCAACAAAGCAGACATTTTGTTTTCATCATTACTGAACATTTTACCGAAGGAAAGTGGGGAAGATTTGAAATAGAAAGAGCAGTGTACGAAAAATATACTACAAACCTGAGAAAAATAATTGTTATTCTCCAAAATATTCAAGTTAAGGACATTCCAGAAGAAATTGTGAATATTTCAAATGATGTTTGCTTTATTGAATTCCCTTTGGACGAAAACGAAATTGATGACAAAAGAGATAGTCAAAGCACATGGCTAAAGTTAAAGGCTCTGTTTTATCTAAATTAGAAAACGTTTCATGAATGCAACATTCTGAGTTTTGGGGTTTCTCTTTCAAATTATAAAATTGAAGTTGAATTATCCTGACAGAAATAAATCAGTTGATAATGCTTTTTACATCAGTTTTCTGTTTAATTCGTGTTATTTCTTTATTGTCTACTTATTATATACAATTAGGTAACTGTCTCAATGTCGTATACCCCACATCTCCATTTAGTCATATGGTATATTTAAAAAAACGTATTGACTTTGTTTCATCGTCTTTGCATGTATCCGATTATTTTGTTCTCTTCCTTTCGAATAGATGTGTTACTCATTTGGCCGAGAAATTCAACGGCATAATTAATGATAAAACAAGTGTAAATATGAGCTTTTGGTATCTAATGATACCCCCGCTTGAAATATTCGGTAAAGATGAAGTTGATTTGCAATGGATGTGAAACCAATCAAATGGTATAACACGGTCACATAATATTGCTACCAAATTGTAGGGTGCTCGGAATTTAAGAAACTAAGAAAAATGTGTCGCAAATTCATATATGATCATTATGTGTAAGAATATATCAGTATGACGATTAACAGGAAGTTGATGAACGACTAATCTGAAAACGCATCACACGGTATGATATGTCCATGAAACAAATAACAAGTTTCAGGAAACTCTGGCTTCTCGTTCTTAAGATAAATGCTACAGAAGTTTCGTTGGCAGACGGACATACAGACAGACAGTGGTTAAAACAGCATATTCCTCCTTATGTGGGGGTATAACAACAAAAGAATAGAAAATATGACAAACAGGAACCAACGACAACCACTGAATTACATGCTTCTGACTGGAGACAAGCATTTAACAGAAGCCCTAAATGATAGGCAAGAAATATTTTATTCAGGCACATACAAGTGTCCTTAATGTAGATCCGCATCTTTTATATACAGAAAAGGTTACTATTCGCCCCTTCCCTTTTTAATAATACGCTTCCTTTAATTTGGTGACAAGAAGATGTGAGGCTAAAATTCCTATACGTTAATGAGACAACTAAACAACGGCACAAACAAAATTAGAAATCAACATTCGGTTTTCCATAATAGTTAGATGTCTGTTTGAGATATAAAGCTTTAAATCGCTTGGGGTCTCAAAAGTTGTTGCAATCTACCAAAGATCTCCCATCAACATCTGTTTTTCAACAATAGATAGGTATCTGTTCAAGATATAAAGCTTAATATATTTTGAAAAGACCGCCAGAAACAGACATTCATATGCCGTATAAATTATATTTAACGCCATTCAAACTGTTTTATATACCAGTTCCAACTGCACAATAGTTGTTAGTCTACTAGATAATCTATTGAACACAATTTACCTGTGAAAATATAATCGATGATCTTCTTTGTTGTTGATAAGGTAATCAAACTCCCCGGAAGTATGTACCGGATTGTAAAGTACAAAACGATCACGGAATTATCCTAGTCCGTGCGATTGCGGAACCGGACTAATAGTCAAAGCCTATCAGAGATCTTCCATCGACACTTAATTTATAAACTGACAAAAATATAACAAAGAGAAGAGCACTGCCGATATTCATGATTTTGGATAGGCACTTAAACTGGTTGAGGGGTTAAACTAGTTTTTATTGTACTTTATAATACCTATCGGATGATTTGTGTAAAAAAAAGCGTAAATTAAAAGAAAGTGCCAAAAAAACCAGCAAAGAACAGACACATTAAAGCGTGCAATAGAAAAAATTACAGAAAAAGCACATTAAACTTTAGCACATTTTTTATAAGCAACCAGTCCATTCTTAACTCTCTCGATCATTTATTTTGATCATGATGACTGCACGTCATTACTGAAGTACTAGTAAACTTGATTAATTGAGGATCTGATTACAGAATAGAGAATAATGGACCAAAAATGTGAAAAATAGAGAAAAATATGGCAAAAACATAAAGAATAGATAATAATTAGGTGCTTAAATATAAAGAATAGAGAACAACGGGCAAAAAATATAAAGAATAGAGAAAAACTACCTAAAAAAATAAAGAATAGAAAAAATGACATAAAAAATTAAAGAATACAAAAATGAAGGACCCCATCCTGACCCCCATACATGTCAAAATAAATAAATAAAATATAATTATATGTAATTGATGCATACTTAATTATCATCACACACGGTAGGTAAAGTGTCCGGCTAGGATCGTGGTTTTTCGAGTGATTTGATCGGGTTTTTTTCGAGTGTGACCACTTTTGTTCGAGTGATTATGATAAAAAATGTAAACAAACAGACTTCATTTCTGACAAGACGTGATATAGAAGCTTGAGTTTAATATACAAAGTTATACACGGTGTGTTAGTATTTGAGATAAAAAGATATTATCAATCCGACATTATTTTTCGTTAAAAAAGTTAAATTTAGCTTTCCAATGCTTTTATTCCAAAATACAGAATAATGCCATTTTTATACACATACCAATGCAAATGTCGAAGGAAATGCATACATGGAATCTATATATCCTTAGATATACAGACACTTTACAAAAATGCTTGTTATTGCATTGAAAACGACATTTTGAGACTAAATACATTTCTATATGTTCGGGTTTTTTCGAGAGCAGTCCGTGTTTTTTCGAGTCCGTCCGTGTTTTATCGAGTGATGATACAAATTTCCTATAGCTTAAAATGTTATGTGTCAGTGTATTTACGTTTAAAAACAATAAAAAAAAAGGTTCAAATTAAGTACTTTTCAAGGCACGAAACCAATGCATTCATCAGTTTGATAATGGTGTACTAACACTTACATTTTATAAACAAGTATCGTTCATTTGTATATAGTGTTGTTTGTCACATCTTATATATTACATGTACAGTATATATTCGTGATGTCAACAATCTAATGTAAGCAAAACAATTTGGATTGAGACGTACATACATATAGTGCGTTAAGCTGATGAACTATTCATTTCATTGTTAATTATATATGAAATTTAATTCCAATTTTATTGTCAATGGGAATAAAAACGGGTCGGATTAAGTGTGTGTGTGTTTCTTTTTATTAATGGATTTTTTTTTGTGGGGGCGGGGGCAGGCCTCTTTTAGTAGAATATTTTTTTATTACATAGCATTTTTCTGATTCTTCACTGCTGTCCAGTAGGTTTCTTACTCCCTTTTTTAATAAACAGCTGCGCCATGAGCGCATGATACGCCCGTCGCGTTTTCAAAGAATAAAGTTCAATAACTTCTCAATGTCATATCAGAAATTTATAAAAAAAACTAAAGGTAGGTTATCTTAATCTATATAAGCCAGTCACCAAAATTTCATGAAAACTGCTCAAAGCACTTTAAAAATATTGTCCGAAAACTGGAAAATCACCCCTTTTTTGTTTAATAAAATCCCATAACTCGGAAACGTTAAATCTAAAATTTATAAAAATCGAAAGGGAGGATACCTCAATAGATATAAACAATTCACCAAAGTTTCATGAAAACAGCTGAAAGCATTTTTAAGTTATTGTCCGAAAACTGGAAAATTCCCCTTTTTTAAATGAATAAAACCCCATAACTCGAAAACGCAAAATTTAAAATTTATAAAAAACGAAAGGGAGCTCACGTCAATAGATATAAACAATTCACCGAAGTTTCATGTAAATTGGTTAAAGCATTTTTGAGTTATTGTCCAACATGCTGACGGACAACGGTACACCATAATACGTCCCGTAAACGGGCGTATAAAAACTCCGGGGTTCACCACGAAAAACATTAAATTTCTAATTTAATACTGGAAAGTTGTGGTAGAACGTTTTCCGAACAGAAAATTTGCATTAAATTGAAAAAGGTTAATTTTGATCAACGTAGTAATATGTTTTTGTGATTTATTGGGAATATATAATATTGTCCTTCACTTAATTACAGTTATAAACTAGAAAAAGTCATTTTTTAAAGTCAAGAATACCTTTTTTCTTATTCATATTTTCTTTAAAAAACCCGGACCATTTGTTGAAAACACGGACGGTTTCAAATGTTGTTCTCGAAAAAAACCGGACAATATTAAACACTGAATTTTTTGGTTAAATACAAGGAAATTGTGCTTCTTTGTTGCTCAAAACATGTATAGTATTCAAAATAAGGTTGGTTGTCATGTAAAAAACTATTATAATAACGAAATAGCAGTTAATTGACCTTATCGCATGTTTTATCACTCGAAAAAACCCGATCTACACTCGAAAAAAGTGGACCGATTCACTCGAAAAACCACGATCCTAGCCGGACACTATACCTACCGTGATACATGTATTATCAAAATGTGAAAACTTGATAGTGTTGTCAGAAACAACGGGGGGGGGGGGGGAGGGGGGGGTGGGGGGGGGGGGGGGTGGCACATTTTAGATTTTTGAAAAAAAAATGGCTGTAATTTTACCTTTATTACCTTTTTTTCACTTTTTAAGACTAGTGTGAAGCTAGCCGTCGATAACAGCCGGCGTTAATATTCATGAGGCCAGCCTTCAATAATATTCATGAGCCGTCAATAATATTCATGAGATGACTTGCGTTCGATGAAGTGTTGTAAGAAACTATGATTGATTATTATGATAAAATAACGTTTTTTGTTTATATTTGATATTGTTTCAAACAGGCAAGTCAATGGGTGTCTTCTTCGAGGTCCGCGTTTACTTAATCAATTATAAAAATGAACTATTGGTCTTCTGCAAGAGCTGCGTCATTTAACAACATTTAAAATGAAAGTAAGAAAAGGTAAATGCTTCCATAAACATACAACCAAGAACTAATCTATTCAAAATTCTGTGATTAGTGAAAGAATGTAAACTGAAACAACAACAAATAAAAGGATGATTAAATATAGAAATTTAACGATTACTATGAATAAAGAAATTCAACGAAAGAGATGAAATATGCTTAATCATGAATCTTGAAAGCGGGACATTCCACCGGACAAATAAAATAGAACCGTTCTTATAAATATTTCCGTCTTTTCGAAGTATTAAATATTTAACAACTATACATTGCACGTAAACTGAAAGAAATAAAAAAGGAATTAATTGCCATATGGGCATTCCATCTG